TGAAAGCACATCTTAGAATTTTTGACTATCTAGACCAAGAATCAGTGTCTTAATCTGTTTTCTGTTGCTATAAGTGAATGCCTGAGACTGAGTGATTTTTAAAGAATGAAGGTTTATTCATTCGGCACTCAGGGTTCTGGAAGCTGGGGAGGCCCAAGGTTGAGGGCTTTCTTGCTGATGGGGACACTTCTGAGTCCTGAGACAGTGCTGGCCACCAGTCACGTGCTGATACAGTGACTTTTCTTATAAAGCCACAGTCCCCTCAGACTGATCCCTCATAGGGCCACCCCTATGGCACCATTGGACCTCAACCCCACTCCAAAGTCCCATCTCCAAATACCAAGAGATTAATTCCCACCCTCCCTCTACTTCACCGTTGGGGAATAAATTTCATCATGACCAGTTTTACTGAAAAAAGTAAGTAAATATTTTCACTTTTGCAGGTCAAGAAGCCATTCTAGGTCTTGTCACACCTACTCAACAACTGCCCAGTAGCCTGAGGGAAGCCATAGGTGGAATGGATATGACTGTGTTTCAATAAAGCTTTATTGACAAAAACAAGCTTTGGGCCAGATTTGCTGACAGCTGAGCTCAATTAAACGCTGAAGGCTGCATTACAACCACAGACTCAGAATGTCACTCAGGCCACTTGACCCCAGGGATCCCACACTGTGAGTCACAGACCATTTGATCCACAGGCTTCTAAGGATGTCACCCCAGAACCTCAGGGGGCTCCTAGGTAGTAGAATTTTGTAGATACCCTGAGTGTCACCCAGGGAAGTGCGGCCCTGAGGGCCTCACACAGTAGCCGCTGGCGCATGAAGCTACTGAGCACCCGAAATGTGGCAGGTCCAGGTAAGAGGTGCTTTTGTTTGCTTGCTTGCTTGTTTGTACTGCGGAGTGCTGGGGACTGAACCCAGGCCCCCACACATGCTAGGCAAGGACTCTACCACTGAGCCATGTCCCCAGCCCTTTTGTTTTTGAGACAGAGCCTCACCAACATTGCTCAGGCCGGCCTCGACCTTGAGGTTCTCCTGCCTCTGGGGCTACAGGCATGCTCAACCATGCTCGGACTTTTTGCTTCTTTTTGCTCGTCTGTTAAGGAAGGCAAAGTCACATATGTGGCCCCCAGAGCAGCGTCCTCACGAGGCACAGGGAGGTCACGTGGCACAGACACAAGGGGAGGTGCTGTCCCCCAGCCCAGGTCTGAAGAGAAGATGGGGGAGTGAAAACCTAGGGTGCACGGGGCTGGGGCTGGGGCTGGGGACACAACCAAGCCAAGCCTGTCATGTACTTCCTTTCCCCACCACTTCCCCTTTGCTAGTTGTTGACCCAGCAGATTCTCCAGACCACAGGTTAAGCAATAGCCTGGCCTTTCAGCCAACTTCCTTCCACGACAGAGCCGCTCAAGCCCAGGCACAGGCCACCTGGGTCCCACTCACTGGCCTCTCAGTGTTCCTAGATTATTGTAGGAAACAGTGATTGGGACAGTATCTCCTTCCTGAATGGGGTTGGGAGTGGGGGAGGGGGGAAGTCACTGGCTACCACTTCCCATCCAGACCAGGAAAGGTAATGATGCCCAGGAACAGAGGTGGAGTGTGGGGAGGCAGAGAAGAAGTCATGGCACCTTCCTGGAGGAGGTAGCACTCTGCAGGAGGAGGGCAGTGATAGTCTTTGAAAACCAGGCTGTCCAGGTATGGTAGTACACACCTGTAATCCCAGCTACTCTGGAGGTAGAGGCAGGGGCTAGCCTGAGCAATGTTATGGGACCCTGTCTCAAAACAAAATAACAACAAAAGGGTTGGGTGTGTGTGGCTCAAGTAGTAGAGTGCTTGCCCAGCAAACACAAGGCCCAGGGTTCAATCTCCAGTTCTGCTAAAAAAAAAAAAAAAAAAAGGCCAAATTTAAGAGCAGATGTGTTGGTCAGCTTTCTGGTACTGTGACAAGTACCTGAGACCATCAGCTTGTACTGGTAGCCTTCCATTGCCATAATGAAACACCTGAGATAATTTACTTAGAAGGAAGAAAGGTTTATTTGGGCTCATGGTTTCAGAGGTTCCATCCCATGAAACCCTGCTGCTTGGGCCTGTGGTGAGGCAGAACATCACTGGCTGGGAACCAGGGAGGAGAGGGGAAGGGGGAGGAGGAGCGAAAGGGAAGGGAGGAGGAGGAGGGAGAGGCACAGGGAGAGAGAGAGAGAGAGAGAGAGAGAGAGAGAGAGGAGAGGCCCCAGGGTCTGGATATCCAATTCAAGGCCACACCCCCAACGACTTAACTTCCTTTCATTAGGCCCCACCTCCCAGAGGCTCCCCTACCTCCCAATAGCACCCAGAGCTGCAACCAGGCCTTAAACAGAGGGATCATTTGGGGCCATTGCAGATCCAAAGCCTAACACAATTTATGAAGACAGATTTGTTCTGACTCACAGTTCTTGAGGTTCTGTCTATGATCCGCTGGGCCCTGGTGCTTTGGGCCTGTAGCAGGAAAGTGCATCATGGCGGGAGCACACAGTACAGCAAAGCCACTACCCTCATGGCTAGGAAGCAGAATGTTCCCATCATTCCTTTCAAGGACACAACCCCAGTGGCTAAAAGCCTCCCCCTAAGTTCCACCCCTTTTTTTTTTCTTTTTTTTTTTTCTGGTGGGACTGGGGTTTGAACTCAGGCCTTCTCTCTTGCAAAGCAGGTGCTCTACCCCTTGAGCCACTCCTCCAGTCCATTTTGCTCTGGTTACTTTGGAGATGGGGGGGGTCTCCTGAACTATTTTCAAAGAATTAAAAAGTGCCAGGTGTGATGGTGCACACCTGCAATCCCAATATGCAAGAGGAGGCAGGAGGAGCATGAATTCAAGAACAACCTGCACTACACTGATCCTGTCAGAGAGACAGAGAGCGAGAGAGGGGAAAGGAGGGAGGGAGAGAAAATATATCAACAATGTATTTAAACTGGACTCAGAGGCTCATGCCTGTAATCTCAGCTACTCCTGTAATCCCAGCTACTCAGGAGGTGGATATGGGAAAACCATAGTTCAAGACCAGCCAGGGTAAAAAAGTTCACAAGACCTCATCTGAACAAAATCTGGAAATTTTGGCATGCCTGTCATGCTCGCTACTCCCTGCTGAGGACACGCCCCAATGACTAAGGACCTCCCGCTAAGCCCCGCCTCCCATAGCTTCCTCCACCTCTGCAGCGCCCCCCTGCAGGCCAGTTCTCAATCAGGATGGACACTTGTGCACCATCCATAACACCCAGATTACTATTGCTATTTCTGGTTTCTTTTGGGATACTGGGGATGGAGCCCAGGGTTCATCCAGGCTAGGTTAGCACTCTAGCACTGAGCTACATCCCAGTCCTTTTGTTTTTATTTTGCTGACGTTGCTCAGGCTGGCCTTGAACTCAGGACCCTCCTGCCTCCGCCTCCCAAGTAACTGGGATTACAGACATGAAGCACCACACCCACCTGCTGCTATTTCTCCTCTTCCTCCTGCTTTACCGTAGTGGGGTTTAAACTGGGCTTCTTGCTTGCTAGGCTGGCACTTGAGCTGTGCCTCCAGCCCCCAACTACTTTCTTTTTACTTTTTTAATGTCCTTATCAGAAAATTTCAAACTACACGTGATTCACCATACTTCTCACATTGGTTTGTACACGGCTTCTAGCCGAACACACACACACATACAATCTAAGCAGAAATTACACTTTGTAAATAACTGAACATTTCCACACTGATTATTTTTTTTTATTTTCATCACAGAAATCACACATAGTAGTTTTTCAAAAGCTTCAAAGGTTAGCTACCATGGGGTTCCTGACTACAGTTCTGGAAATGACAGTGCTGTACACATGGAGGGTGGATTCGTGGCCAACTGGGGTCAGGGATGAGGCTGGGGGGTGGAGGGAAGAGGATATAAGTGGAAAAGTGGGGACGGGAGTGGGGACGGGAGTGCCCCGGACCTTGATCGTATCAAGGTCAACATCAGTTGTGAGTCAGCAATGTAGCTTTAGGGAAGTTGGGAAAGCCTACTCAGGCTCTCACTGTACTATGATAACATCAGTGAATCTGGAACAGCCTATAAATAAAAATGCCCTTATTTGGGGGGGGGCAGTACTGGGATTTGAACTCATGGCCTTGCACTTGCTAGGCAGGCACTCTACCACTTGAGCCACTCTGCCAGTCCTTTTTTTTTTAAGTACAACCAGAACAGAAGTTCTCAAGGTAGAAAAAAATTAGTTAAATTCCCCTCTTACCCACTCCTGGAAGTTGGATATGTAACTGCCTAACCAATGTTCCCCCAACTCAGACTCCTCTCAGTTTGTAACGTAACTACGTAACATCTTTTTACTTAGTACTTAAAAATCAAATAGCAGCCAGGCACAGCAGCATGCACCTGTAGTCCCAGCTACTCAGGAGGCTCAGGCAGGATGATTTTGAGATCAAGACCAGCCTGGGGAACATAACCAGACCATCCCCCATCTCAGAAAAAATAAAAGAGTAACATTTTAACATAATGTTTTTCTTTAAAGAAGCTCACGAAAGCATGAATAAGCTGATACACTTTTGCTTTGTCCTGAAAAGAGTAACTTTGGAGATGCCATCTGTCCATAAAATAAATATCTAAGCAACTTGTCAGAAGCTGGAATATTGGCTGGAGACCTAGCTCAGAGGTAGCTCTGCCGCCCAAGCATCATGCCCTGAGTTCAAAGCCCAGTAAAAGGAAAAGATGAAGAAAGTAAAATAGGTACTAATTAATAAGAAAAGGGGGGGAACGAATTAATAAGAAACAGTAAGAGAGGGGTGACGTGATCAAAGCACATTATATACGTGTATGGAAATGTCTCCATGAAACTCTTAAATTAATTTGAGTCAAGTGCCAGTGAGTCAGTGCCAGTGGTTCACCTCTATAATCCCAGCTACTCTGGAAGCAGAGATCAGGAGGATCACAGTTCAAAGCCAGCCAGGGCAAATAGTTCCAAGACCCTATCTTGAAAATACCCAACACAAAAAAGGGCTGGCGGAGCGGTTCAAGTGGTAGAGCACCTGCCTAGCAAGCACAGAGACCTGAGTTCAAACCCTGGTATCTCCAAAAAAAAAATCCAAACAAACAAGGATTGGCTGGAAAGATAGGTTGACTGTCCCCTACAGGGAAGTGTTCATGGAGGATGAGGACAGAGAAGATGGAAAGGTTGGGGACAAGTCCATAAAAGCCATACCCACTCACCGCCAGGGCTGAGTTAAAATGAGCAGAGTGAAAGGAAGGAGGACCATGGGGACATGTAGTGGCCTCAGAGGCCTCGCCTTACACCTCCTGGCTCTTTTGAGGTTGCGTGTCTATCGTGGAGCGTGTGAAAGACTTGCTTTCTCTACTCAGGGACTCATCGGTCAGCACGTTCCGGAGGACACTGGGAAGAGACTTTCGGAGCTGGACCAGGAAACCCCAGCCAGCAGTGACATAGATGATAGGGTTGACACAGCAGTTGACATAGGCGAGGGACACGCACAGGGCGTCCAGTCTTTGCAGCCAGTAGAAGGCAGCTGAGGACTGGGGCAGGAAGGCCATAATTGTCCCCGTCACCTGGTAGGGGAGCCAGAGGACAAAGAAGCTGACCACCACAGCCACCACCACCTTGAGTGTCTTGGTGGAGCGCGTGGCCTTGCGACTCCAGGTCCGGAGCAGGAGGAAGGTGTAGCAGGTGATGAGGATGACCAGGGGCACCACGAAGCCCAAGACGAGCCGGAGCATAGCCACCGTCCTCTCCACGTGGAAGCCATCTTTACCATAGTCAATGCCACATGTCGTGTGGGAGGAGAAGGGGTCTTTTCTCACCACACGGAACAGGAAGGAAGGAACGCTGAGCAGCAGGGCACAGCCCCAGGCCATGGCACAAGCTGCCCAGGCCACCCTGGCTCGGCGAAAGGACTGGCACCAGATGGGCTTGAACACCAGCAGGAAGCGATCGGCACTGATGGTGACCAGGATGAGGATGCTGGAGTACATGTTAAACAAGATCAGCGAGGGCAGGACGCGACAGGCGGCGGCACCAAAGGGCCACTGCTTGTGCAGAACAATGGATGCGAACAAAATGGGCAGCGCCAGGCAGGACAGGAGGTCAGCCACCGCCAAGTTGAGGAACCAGATGGCGTTGATGGTGCGCCTGACCTCAAACGCTGTCACCCACACCACCAGGGTGTTACCCAGCACACCCACCAGGAACACAAGGGAGTAGATGGCCAAGACCAGGACATCCTCGAAATACAAGCGTTTGAGACTGTTGTCCACAGGGACATTGGGGTCCAAGGTCCCCTCAGGGTAGTTGTAGTAGTCATCAACAGAGGTGCCATTATCCATGGTGCCCTAGTGAATAAAAGGGAGAGTCTGAGTTCTCTACCAGTACAGCCACTCACTGTCCCTTCTCGATGGTCAGCGCACACGACGCACTGCTTGTTACAGATTTGGGGGAGGGCAGTACTGGGATTCAAACTCAGGGCCTCCTGCTTGCTAGGCAGGCACTCTACCACTTAAGCCACTCCCCAGTCCCTTTAGGCTATTTTTCAGATAAGATCTAGCTTTGGTTTTTTTGGGGGGATGGCGGTTGGTTTTGGGCTGGCCTCAGACCTTGATCCTCCAATCTGTGCCTTCCATGTAACTGGGATGATAAGTGGACACGCACCAGCACACTCAGCTTTTTTGTGGGTTTTTTTTTTTTCGCAGTACTGGGGCTTGAACTCAGGGCCTACACCTTGAGCCACTCCACCAACCCTATTTTGTGATGGGTTTGTTTTCAAGATAGGGTCTCACAAACTATTTGCCCAGGCTGGCTTCAAACCTGGATCCTCTTGAGTAGCTGGGATTACAGGTGTGCAACACTATTCCCAGCTGAAATGTTTAATATCATCCACAAATGCAGGTGATATTAACGGGCAGCTTCCCCCCAGATCACCATTATCCCTTTTCTCTGCCTTTCACCCACTGAGACATATGCTCAGCTCTGGGCTCCCTCTTTGCCGGGCTACCCAGAGAAGGCACAGGTTTGACAGAGCCTCATTTAACCTTGGGCACAAAATTTAGGAGGAGCCAGGCACCGGTGGCTCACACCTGTAATCCTAGCTACTCAGGAATCAGAGACCAGGAGGATTGAGGTTTAAAACCAGCCCAGGCAAAATAGTTCATGAGACCCTATCTTGAAAAATCCCATCACAAAAAGGGCTGGAAGAGTGGCTCAAGGTATAGGCCCTGAGTTCAAGCCCAGAACAAAAAAAAAAAAATTTAGGAGGGTACTCTCCCAAAATTCAGTCATCAATATACTTTAATGCAATTTTTTTTGCAGTTTTGAGGAACTGAATCTTTGGTCTTAAGCGTACTGTGCAAGTCTTCTACCACTTGACCTATGCCCTCAGCCTTCTTGTTTTTATTTTGCTTTTGAAACAGGGTCTCACTATATAGCCCCAGGCTGGCCTTGGACTCTCAATCCTTCTGCCTCCACCTCCCAAATGCTGGGATTACAGGGATAACCCAGTGTACAGATGAGGGATGAAGAGGCCCTTGGGTAGGGGGAGGGAAAAGGCATTAGAAGACAAAGTATGGTGTCCTGGGTCCTCCAGGAACACATTCAAACCCTCAGTGAGGGCACAGTGACACATGGTATAATACCAGCACTGCGGAAGCAGAGGCAGGAGGGTTACGAGTTTGAGGCCAGCCCAGGCAAAGCTAGTGAGACCCTGCCTCAAAAACCAAATGCAAACAAAAGGGCCGGGAGCATGGGCTTCAGTGGGAGAGTGAGTGCCTGCCTAGCGAGCACCAGGCCCTGGATCAATGCTTAGTACTATCAGAGAAAAAGAGAGAGAAAGGAAGGGAGGGAGGAAGGCAGAGGAAGAGGGAGGGAGGGAGGGAGGGAGGGAGGGAGGAAGGAAGGAAATTATTTGCTCTAGACTTACTCATAGCTGGATTTTTCATGCGCCTGAGTTTGTAGACTGGGGTTTATACCTACTAAGACCCCACTTTGCAGATGAAATGAGATAAGAAATGTCAGCGCCTAGCACAGTGCCTGACACACAGGAGGGGCTGGACATGGCAGCCATTGCTGCCGCCATGTTGATGTCATGACCACTGAGGCACTGAGACCAAAACCCTTACTCCTCCTTTTCTCCAGTCCCTTTAACATCCTGAAGCGAGCCCTGTTATGGCCCCTGGGCACATGATGGTGGAACCAGAGTGGTGATTGATTTTTTTTTTTTTGGCGGTATTGGGGTTTGAACTCTGGGCCTCATATTTGCTAGGCAGGCGCTCTATTACTTGAGCCACTCCCCATCCCTTTTTGTTTTATGTATTTTTCTGAGTAGGGTCTCCTGTTTTCCGCTGGTCAGACTGAATCCTCCAATTTATGATTCCGATGTAGCTGGGAATGATGGAGCACACCACCATGCCCAGCTACTTGTTAAGATGGGGTTTGGGGAACGCTTTGCCCAGGCTGGCAATCCCAAGTAGCTGGGATTACTGACTATGAGTTATTGAAAGGGAAGTGTCAGGAATGGCAAACAAGAAGATGAACAGGGTGTGGTGTTTGTCCACACAGAGCACCAGCAACCAGCCATATAAAGGAATGGAGTGTGATACGTGCTGGGGTGTGACACCTCCAAAACAGGCTGCCAGACGGTGAAAGAAGCCAGGCACAAAAAAGATCTGTAGCTAGGACTGCATTTCTGTGAAATGTCAGGGTAGACATATTTAGAGAGGCAGAAAGCAGATTTGTGGCTGCCTGGGCCGAGGGAGGGGCTCTGGGGCATGGGGGATGCAGGAGTTCTTCGGGGGACGATGGCATGTTCTGGAAATATGGAGGTGGTGGTTGCACAAGATTGTGAATGTACTAATGCCACTGAAATGGGCACTTTAAAAGCTGGATATGTGTAAGAACTTTAGTCAATAAAAAAGACCAGTGTCGTGAAGACACAGAAGAACTGAGGGACTGTTCCAGCTGAAACAGAGACTAAAGAGGCAGAACAGATGGGTGTGGTGGTACATGCCTGTAATCCCAGCAACTGCAGGAAACTTAGAATAGGAGAGTCACTGTCCAGGACAGCCTGGGCAAAAAGCAAGACCCTGTCTCCAGAGAAAAAGAAGAACAATGAAGGGGTGAATTTCCCTAAGATACATTGTAAACGCTTTTTCGAATGTTGCAATGTAACCCCAGTACAATAATATATGATATTATAATAATATGATAATTAAAAAAAAAAAAAGAACAAAAAGGCTGCCAGAGTGCCTCAAGTGGCAGAGTGCCTGCCTAGCAAGCACGAAGCCCTGAGTTCAAACTCCAGTGCTGCCAAAAAAAAAATAAATCAATAAAAAGAGCCAGATCACCCAGACACGGCCTGCTCTAGAGCCAGAGCCGGAAAGTCCAAGTCCCTCTGAAGGCTGTGACAGGAATGGCTGTGTGAACTCGGGCGTGGACAGGACATAGTGACTCAGTGATGCTGGACTTCCCACTTTGGTGACTGCCATGCTCATGGAGGGTGCACTCTGGTTCTGCAGAAGTAGACGCTGACATTGTGCGGGGAAAGGGATATGAGGCTGACACTTGACTCCAGTGCAGAAAAAAAGGTGAAGGTGAGAGATAAGAGAGACAGAGAGGAAATGGACAGGTGTGGATGGATGGAGGGATGGATGGGTGGGTGGGTGGGTGGATGGATGGGTGGGTGGATGGATGATTGGGTGGATGGGTGGGTGGATGGGTGGATGGGTGGGTGGATGGGTGGGTGGATGGGTGGGTGGATGGATGGGTGGATGGATGATTGGGTGATGGGTGGATGGGTGGGTGGATGGGTGGATGATTGGGTGGATGGATGGGTGGATGGGTGGGTGGGTGGGTGGATGATGGGTGGATGGGTGGATGGGTGGGTGGATGGGTGGGTGGATGGTGGTGGATGGGTGGGTGGGTGGGTGGATGGGTGGGTGGATGGGTGGGTGGATGGGTGGATGGGTGGGTGGATGGGTGGGTGGATGGATGGGTGGATGGATGGGTGGGAGGGTGGGTAGATGGATGGATGGGTGGGTGAATGGGTGGGTGGGAGGATGGGTGGTGGATGGGTGGGTGGGTGGATGGGTGGGTGATGGGTGGATGTTTGGGTGGATGGGTGGATGGATGGGTGGGTGGGTGGATGGGTGGGTGGGAGGATGGGTGGGTGGATGGGTGGGTGGGTGGATGGGTGGGTGATGGGTGGATGTTTGGGTGGCTGGGCGGATGGATGGGTGGGTGGGTGGGTGGATGGGTGGTTGAGAGGATGGGTGGGTGGATGGGTGGGTGGGTGGATGGGTGGGTGATGGGTGGATGTTTGGGTGGATGGGTGGGTGGGTGGGTGGATGGGTGGGTGGATGGGTGGGTGGGTGGATGGGTGGGTGATGGGTGGATGTTTGGGTGGATGGGTGGGTGGGTGGGTGGGTGGATGGGTGGGTGGATGGGTGGGTGGGTGGATGGGTGGGTGATGGGTGGATGGGTGGGTGGATGGGTGGGTGGATGGGTGGGTGGGTGGATGGGTGGGTGGGTGGATGGGTGGGTGGATGGGTGGATGGGTGGGTGGGTGGGTGGATAGCTGACAGATAGATAACTGGATAGTTGACGGAGACTGGCTGGTGGAGTGGTGGATTATAGGAGTAGATGGACAGATCTGGAGAAGTAAAAAGCATACTTCCCCTATTCTTGTCATTTTTTACAACTTGAAAATAAGTCAATCAGGTTGAAATGCTGAAGTGTGTCCCTTAGTATTCACTGGCCGCACCACTCCTCAGACGCCCCCACACCCTGACCTCCCACTTGCTAGCCCTGGACGGTGCTGTCCAGGTCCCATGCTCAAGTCACTGAAGGGTTGATGCCAGGCACAGCAGGTGGCCCCAGACTGCTGGGGAAGGCTGTCCCCTGGGATGTGACACAGGAAGTTAATTGCCTCGCCTGTTTTCTTCAACTCTCAGAATGACTCAGACCCAAAATGCAGAGCCTTCTTCCACCTCACTCCTACATCAGCTTCCACACTCCCTTCCTGGCGTGAGCTCACCCTGTCCTCCCCTCCTGCTGACCTCATCATGCTGAGTGTAACACTCTGTGGTTTCCTCGGTTCCCCTGATGCAAACAGCTGGAAACAGACTGGAAAGAAGCCAGGTGTGGTGGTCCACACCTGTAATCCCAGCACTCAGGAGGTCAAGGCAGGAGGAGCACAAGTTTGTGACTACCTGGAAAAAGTTTGGAAGCCCCTGTTTCAAAAAACAGACAAAAAATGAAGGCCGGGATTCAGTGTCCAGGAAAAGGAAGAGGCCATGCTAATGATGACATGCCCAGGCAACAGACCACTATGTAACCATGAAAAAGACCGAGGAGCTGGCAGCTGGTGGTTCACACCTGTAATCCTAGCTACTTCAGAAGCAGAGATTGGGAAGATCGTGGTTTGAGGCCAGCCTGGGGAAACAGTTAGTGACCCCATCTCAACTAATAAAACTGGGCATAGTGGCACACACCTGTCGTCCCAGCTAGGCAGGAAGCATGAACAGGAGAATTATGGTCCAGGATACTCTAGGCATAAATGTGAGAACCAACTTGAAAAATAACTACAGCAAAAGCAAAAGGAGTTGGGGATGTAGCTCAAGTGGTAGAGCACCTGCCTAGCAAACCCAAAACCCTGAGTTCAAATCCCAGTACTGGGAAAAAAATAAAACCAAGAAAGAATGAGGAAGTTGTAATGTGCTAATGTAAAAAGATCGCCAATATGTAATGCAACGTAAAAATGCCAGGCTGATCTGAGCATGATGTCACATACCTGTAATCCCAGCTACTCTGGAGGCAAAGGCAGGATGATCACAAAGTTTGTTCCCAGGCAAACTCACTAAGACCCAGTCTCAAAAACAAAATACAGCCAGTACTAGTGACTCATGCCTGTAATCCTAGCTACTTGGGAGGCAGAGACCAGGAGGATCAAGGTTCAAGGCCAGTCTGAGCAAATGGTTCATGAGACCCCATCTGCAAAATAACCAGAGCAAAATGGACTGGAGGCATGGCTCAAGAGGTAGAGCGCCTGCCTAGCAAGCATGAGGCTCTGAGTTTAAACCCTGCTGTGGGAAAAAAAAAAAAAAAGGAAGACTTGAGATCACAGAGAGCCATGACTTTCCACATCTGGAGCTGGTGCATGGGATGGGCAGCTGACCCACTTCACCTCGCCCCTCCCTTCCTCTCCTCGGTTCCCCCATCCCTCCAATAGGCAAAGTCCTGCCTGCATCCCCTGCCACCAGGGAAATCACAGACCTCACAGTAATGCTCTCGGAGCAGTAAATACACAATGTCCAGGTCTGTGGATTTTTTTTGAGCATCCCCTCCCTGTCCCTACGCAGACAGGACATCGTTAAACAATCCGCTGGTGGGCCATCGTGATGCACATCTGTAATCCCAGCACTTGGGAGGCTGAAACAGAATGAGCACGAGTTCCAAGCCAGCCTGGGCTACAAAGAGAGACCTTTTCTCAAAAAAAAAAAAAAAGGAAGAAAGCCCAAGTTGAGGTGGTGTTTCACACCTGTAATCCCAGCTACGTGGGAGACCTTATCTCAAAAGCAAAATAAAAGTAAGAGGGCTGGGGGCATTGCCTAAGTAACAAAGCACTTGGCTAGTACACACAACACCCTGAGTTCAACGCCCCCCAGCTAGTACACAGTAGAAGCAGAAGTTGAACTGAGTTTGGGGTCACCCCTCATCCAATTCTTTCTTCCTTTGTTCCCCAAGCTTCTTATCTAGGCCATCTATAGCCTGTTTCTGGAAAGTTCCACCATACACTGCTCCCCATGGTTGCCTCTGAGAGCAATGACAAGGAGCCAAGGCTCTGGGAAGGGCAGAGAGAGTGACTTTTCTCTGAACAGCCTTTGGTACTTTGGAATATTACAAGGAAAGGAAAAAGGCAGCAGGTAACGGTTGTCTTGTTCTAAAGTTCCATTTATCAGACCTCCAGGCAGGGATGAGGGGCAAGGCAACCTCACCCTCTTCCTAGGCATCGCTTCTTCTTCCGTTTCCTCTTTCGTAAGATGAAGCAAGACTGAGGTTACCTGACGACAGGTGCTAAATCACAGCTCGGCTGTGACCTCAGGTCACAGGCCAAAAGGGGCCACAGGGATGGGCTCCCTCTGAGAGTCAAGATAGAGCAGCCACCAGCCACTGGAGGACCCAGGCCACCTCTGCTCCTCCCTCTGCCTCAGTTTCCCCCTCTCTGTCATCAGAGCATCTGAAACACCCTGCCGTTCTTCCAAACTGGCTCTTTGCAGCCTCCTGACCTGGACTTTTTGGGTTTCTCAGTTGTAGAGTTTTTGTCGTTTTGTGCTGGGAAGGAACCCGGGACCGGGCACCAGTCGGACTGCTCTACCACCGAGCTGCATGCCAGCCCTGCTGGAGGAAGTCTTCATCATTTTAGGGGGCCTGATTCAAGTGTTCCCTGATTCGAGAAACTTCTCACAAGTCCCCAGTCCTGGGAGGTTACTGTGGCCGCCATCACTTCTTGACAATCTTCCTCCTTGGTCACCTCCCATCCCTGGAGTGAGTTTGGGATGAAGAAGAGATGACAAAGGGGGAGACTGAAAGCCAGTGAGCGGGGGAAAGAGGGAGTCAGAGTGAGAAGAGAGAGTTAGGGAGACAGAAAGGGGCCACACGCCTATAATCCCAGCTACTGGGGAGGCAGAGGCAGGAGGATCACAAGTACAAGGCCAGCCCAGGTCAGCCAGAGAGACCCTATCTCAAAAACAAAACACACACCTGTCATCCTAGCTACTTGGGAGGCTGAGGTCGGGAGGATCATGGTTTGAGGCCAGTCAGGCAAAGAGTTTGTAAGACCCCATCTGCAAAATAACCAGAGCCCAATGGCCTGGAGGAGCGGCTCAAGAGGTAGAGCTCCTGCTTTCCAGGTGCAAAGCCCTGAGTTCGAACCCCAGTCCAAAGCAAAGGGCTGGGATATGCTTCAAGCAGTAGAGGCTTGCCTAGCATGCAAGAGGCCCTGGGTTCAAATCCCAGAGCCTCCCAAAAAAGAAAGAAAGGAGCCAGCTCACCAAGTCTTGGCTCCTCCGGGGCGCTGGGATGTCTGTCTGTAGGTCCTTCCTTCCTGCGCCTGGGCTGTGGTTTTAAAGCCCCACAAGGCAATGCAGATAGCAGGAGGAAATGACAGGCCTTCCTCTCTGGGGTTCCCATTGGTCCACACACTGGGCACCCCTGCCAGGCCCCTCCGTGGGGGATCCACCTGGCGAACCCTACATACCTCCCAGGCCGGAGTGAGAGGTGGGGATTGGAAGACAGACAAGTTCCTGGTCCAAGGTAGGAGGGAGCCAGCTGGGGGCCTCCTCCCTGTCGAGGCTCAGCCTCCCCTGTGGCCTCTGTCTCCCCAAATGAGAGTGACTCTCTCCTCCTTGTGGAGTCCCAGGCTGCTGGGGAAAGCTCAGCGGTCTCTTTGGTTGAAGTCTCCCTGGAGCCCTGGAGAGCAGGGGTTGGAATGGGCCCCTTGGCCTCTTAGCCAGGCTGCTTAGAGGCCCAGAGAGACTTCAAAGATCTGTGGAAGTGGTATATTTTGCCATTAAATCTTCCTCTAGATTTTTTTGGGTTGGTTTGGTTTCAAGATAAGATCTCTCTGAGTAACCCAGACTGGCCTAGAACTCACTATGTAGCCCAGGCTGGTCTCAAACTCAACATCCTCCTGCCTCTGTGTACTGGGATTACAAGTGTGCACCACCACACCTGGCCCCTATAGAGTTCTGAAGTGGGCAGAAGACCCGTCTGCAAGCCACAACCCTCAGCTTAGAAATGAACTCCTCATCTCACCTCATCCTGCATCACCCACTCACTCATTCCGGGGTCTTTAAGCGACATGCCAGAGGCAGGGAAGGAGCCCCTGCAGGGGCCCCAACTCATGATGTTTCCTTGTGCAAGTTTTGAACTTTAAGATGATGAGAAAGTGGTACACATTCAGGAGAAAATGTGCTTCAGTGGAGGGGGTGTGTCCCAAGAGCGCCAAGAAGAGAGAGAGAGAGGGAGGGAGGGAGGGAGGGAGGGAGGAAGGAAGGAAGTAAGAGAGGGAGAGAAGGAAGGAAGAAAAAGAGGAGGGCCAGGTGAGGTGGTGCACATCTGTAATCCCAGCACTTGGGAGGCTGAGGCAGGAGGACAGCAAGTTCCAGGCCAGCCTGGGCTACACAGCAAGGGCCACTCTCAAAATAATGAGGCTGATGTGGTGGCTCACGCCTGTAATCCCAGCTACTCAACAGGTAGAGAGCAGAAGGATCCTGGTTCCAGGCCAACCCAGGCAAACAGTTCTGGAGACCCTGTCTCAACCAATAAAGCTGGGTGTGACAGCACACACCTGTCATCCCAATGGTGCAGAAGGCATAAATAGAAGGATCACAGTCCAGGCCAACCGCCCAGGCAAAAGACACAAGACCCCATTAAAAATATATATAACAAGTCCAAGCCTTTGGCTCACGCCTGTAATCCCAGCTACTTGGGAGACTGAGATCAGGAAAATCATGGCTCGAGGCCAGTCCAGGCGAATAGTTCTGGAGACCCCCATTTCCAAAATAACCAGAGCCAAATGGACTGGAGGTGTGGCTCAAGCAGTAGAGCACCTGCTTTGCAAATCTGAAGTCCTGAGTTCAAATCCCAGTCCCACCTAAGCAACAATAACAAAAGCAAAAAGCTGGGGGCGTGGCCTGAGTGGTAGAGTGACTGCCTAGCAAGCTTGAGGCCCAGAGTTCAAACCTCAGCGCGTAAAAAGAGTCAAGTTTTGTTTTCATTACCATGGTAACCCACTGTACACTTTTAAGCAATCTAGACATGTATTCTCCCCTCCCCCACACCCCAAAAATGTCCCCATCGTCCCAACACCCAGAACCGAGGTTTTCACAATGCAGTTTAAAATGCATCGCTCTGGAGCATCATTGCTCCGTCACTATCTGAACCCTGCTCCCTTGATCGCTTCCCTCCTAGTGGAAATGGGAGACTTCACCATTTTTGCTTACACCATACGCTTGTGCGCACCCCTGGCGGCTGTGTGCGAGGACTTATGCAGATGACTCTGTCTGAGGTTTTGAGGCCACGTGCGTCTTCACCGTCCTCTGCAAGCAGCCTCTTCTAGGGTCTCTTCCTCTTCCTTTCAAGATTCAGAACTGATTGAGTGTTACAGTGGTCACCAGCCACAAGGCCACCAAGCTGTGCACATTCAACGAGTCTGAATTGAGATGGACCATGAGTGCAACACACACACCGGATTTCAAAAACAGTACAGAAAAAAATGATCATAGACTACCTCAGGAGAGTATGGTGGTGCACGCCTGTAATCCCAGCTACTCAAGAGATGGACGTAGGAGGATGAAGAGTTCAAGGGCAAAGCCCGGTGCTGTTGGCTCAGGCTCTGAGTTCAAATTACACCATGAAAAGGAAAGAAGCCAAAAAGGCCCACGCTCAAGTGGCCACGGAGCAGGAGCAGGTTCGCTGCAAAGCTGGCACCAGCAGGAGTGCATGGGCTGTGGGGCCAAGGCCGCCACACCCCACAGAGAAACAGCTGTGCTCAGCCACCACAGGAAGCCCTGTGCCTGCCAACGGCGGCTTCCGTCCACCACTGTCCCCTCCATGGTACTGAGGCTCCTGGCCTGTGGCCACGATGGCTTTGGGCAGGATGTGGTGGGCCCATCAGTGACAGTGCTTGAGCCTGGGCCAACTTCCCACGCTGGCCTGTGGGCTCACCAGACGTCCCAGCATCCTCTGGGCCTGAGCAGGAGGAGGTCTGATAAGTACCAGGCGGAGGCTGGGAGGAAGAAGGTGAGGACGCAGCAACAGCTGGCTGGCAGGAAATACCACCAAGAATAATAAAAATAATTACTCAGGTGACAAAGAGATTGGTCCAAGCCCTTGGGAACCACCCAGCCAGATCAAGGTAAGAAGCACCCTGACAGGAGGTAGAGTGGGTGTGCTGACCTCATTATTACTCGCAAAAGTCTAGAAGTTTCAATTTTTTAAGACGTACATATATAAAAATGTGATTTTGCCTGGGCATGGTGGTTCATGGCTATAATCCCCGGTACTCGGGAGACAGATCAGGGGGATTTTGACTTTGAGGCTAGCCTAGGCAAAGGTAGCAAGATCATGTCTCAAAAACAAAACAAGCAGGCACTGGTGGCTCCCACCTGTAATCCTAGCTACTCAGGAGGCAGAGATCAGGAGGCTCAGGGTTCAAAGCCAGCCTGGAGAAATAATTCACGAGACCCTATCTCGAAAATACTCATCATGAAAAGGGACTGGTGGAGTGGTTCAAGATGTAGACCCTGAGTTCAAACCCCAGTACCACCCACAAAAAAATGGTTTGTAAACCAGGCATGGTGGTTCTGTTTTGGGAGTTTGCTAGCTGAGATACGGGACACTGAGGCAATTAGCAGGAAGCAATGCTTTATTGTGCCGACACAGACCCAGCGGACTGGTGGCCAAAGGCTGAGCCCTGAGAACAAAGGGGTCTCACCTTACACACCCTTGCAAGCAGGTTACAGAAGCAAAAGCAAGGTCTAGTCCATATACGTTATATTTAATTTTATTGCCTACTTTACCCCAAGTGCTACGTGACTTTCCCTCTGTGGTGCTATGTGACCTTCCTCATGTTCAGATTTCTCAGGTTTGATCTTTCTCCTACGCCATCCCTACCTCCCTGCTACTTTCTCAGGACTCAGGCCTAGACTGTTTTCTTCTGATCCTCTCCCTGCTACAGTTTACGCCTGCAATCCCGGCACTTGGGAAGCACAGGCAGAAGGATGGTGAGTTTGAAGCCAGCCTGGGAAAAAGGGTTGCATTAGTTTTTTGAGGCTGTTGTAACAAGTGGATACAAACCATCCTGTTTATGACAAACTCAAATTTATGCTCTCACAGTTCTGAAGGCCAGAAGTCTGAAATCAAGGTGTTACTAGAGCCACAGGCTTCCAAACGCTCTGGGAGGGAAGGGGGATCTTTCTGGCCTCTCCCATCATGCCTGGGCTTGTGGCCCCATCCCTCTGATCTCTGCTCCATCTTCACAAGGCCTTCTCCTCTGTGCCCTTGCTTCTTTCTCTTCTACAGTCACTTGACACTGATGTGGGCTCACCGGGGTAATTTGTAACTATCTCATCTTGAGATCCTTCAGTTAATGACATTGGAAAACACTTCTTTTTCCAAATAAGGCCACATTCACAGGCCCCAGGTGGACATATATTTGAGGGGCCACCACACAACCCACTACGCTGACAAACTTCCCGCAAGCGGCTGCCCCATTTAATGGTGAGCCATTCGCGTTCCCTCCAGCAGGTTCTCTGATTCTGAAAGTGCTTGGCCTGCGCTGGGGTGGGGGGACAGCCCTCACTACACAAATTATGACATCCAGGTCCACAGCATTTGGTGTCTCCCAAACATGATAGAAATTTGGTGACTCAACTGGGTGTGGTGACTCACGCCTATAATCCCGGCTACACAGGAGGTGAAGATCAGGAGGATTGCAGTTTGAGGCCATCCTGTTTTTGTTTTTTTTAAAAAAAAAAAAGCAAGACTTCAACCATAAAAAGATGGGCATGGTGACACATACCTGTCATCCCAGCTGCTCAGGAGACAGAGGTAGGAGGACCACAGTCCACGCAAAAACATGAGACCCCATCTCAAAACTAACCAAACAAAAAGTGCTTGGAGAAGTGGTCCCCCCCCCCCCCCCCCCCCCCGCCCCCCCCCCCCCCCCCCCCCCCCCCCCCCCCCCCCCCCCCCCCCCCCCCCCCCCCCCCCCCCCCCCCCCCCCCCCCCCCCCCCCCCCCCCCCCCCCCCCCCCCCCCGCCCCCCCCCCCCCCCCCCCCCTCCCCCCCCCCCCCCCCCCCCCCCCCCCCCCCCCCCCCTCCCCCCCCCCCCCCCCCCCCCCCCCCCCCCCCCCCCCCCCCCCCCCCCCCCCCCCCCCCCCCCCCCCCCCCCCCCCCCCCCCCCCCCCCCCCCCCCCCCCCCCCCCCCCCCCCCCCCCCCCCCCCCCCCCCCCCCCCCCCCCCCCCCCCCCCCCCCCCCCCCCCCCCCCCCCCCCCCCCCCCCCCCCCCCCCCCCCCCCCCCCCCCCCCCCCCCCCCCCCC